ATATTATTTAGCTTCCTTTTTTGTTTATGACCTAAAAAGAAAAATTATATGAGTCATTTGAGAAAGGTTATCGAAATAATTTTGTAATTCACTGTACATAGATAAATACTAGTTGTCTAGTATTACTATATACCTCCTACATACATACGTGAACACCTCCGTGATGGAAACGTTGAAAGCGTTCCAAGAAATTTCTCGCGTCTCTAACGACTTCGTTTAGATAGAAACGAAGAGAGAGAGAGAGTGAGAGAGAGAGTGTGGGGAGAGAAGGGAGAAGGGGGTTGAAAGAGAGAGAGAGAGAGAGAGAAAGAGAAAGGAAGAGATGATGATAGGAACGACGAAGACAGGACGAGCGTACTGTCAATTTAATCTATCACGAAACCTAGTCTTCTCTCCCTTCTCTCGTAGAAACTTAGTCGAGCGTAAATGATTGGCTCAAAAGGGAATCGCCGATAATATAGTCGCCTAAACCTTTTCGTGTCTGTGCCTGCCTTACCTTGGCTGGCTCCTGTTTAAATGCATCGCTTGCATTCACCGTCATTCACCATAATAGGAGTGCACTCGTCGAACGATGCGAATGAACATTTAATGGCTCTTTCTAAATCGAATCTAGGTGTATGCTGCAACAACCATAAACCAGACGTTACATTTTATTTAATCGCGATCTATATATTGTATATATGTATATATATGAACCGTTTATTTTGAAAGTGGCATAAGTCACTTTTTCAAAATAAACCGAGTAGTGGCAACATTAATTACAACTGAACGGTATCTTTTCATTTTCAATTAAAAAAACAAAAAAGTGACTTTTGCCACTTTCAAAATAAACGGCTCATATATATATATATATTTTGTTTTATTTTCTTTTTCTTTTTTTTCATTATTTTCGACGAGATATTTGATTTTCTTTCCCCCCCCCCCCTAGTTAAAGAGAACATTCGTGTGCACGTGTGTGTGTGTGTGTTGAAATTTGTATATTTTATTTAATTATTTCTTCTATTTCACGTTTTTTTGTCCCTTATTTCCATTTTGTTTTTTTTTTGTTTTTTTTTTTTTATATATTCATTTCCATTATACTTTCATCTCTGTCTGATTAATTTAACAATACTCGATAAGATCTATAGGATTATATCGATTTAAGTTTGTCCAACCGATGAATACTTCGAACAATTTACACCCCATTCTATGAACTCGTATGAAACGACCCATCAATCTTCATTCCCCAGGCGATTGATTCAAAAGATAGATAAATGTGTGTATATATATATAAAGATGTATAGGTGTATAAGTGTGTAACAATCGATATCGTTCGGTTGAATAAAAGAGATCGACTGTGTGTGATAGAAAGAGAGAGAGAGAGAGAGAGAGAAAGCTTTTCTACGAATCAATTGACAATTTTCAACGTGCAAATTGACGAAGATCGACAGGTCACTTCTACGAAAAAGAAACATCGATGGTTATTATTATTATTAAATATAAGAGAGAATATTATTATTTCTATTCAACCAATCGAAAACTAAATTAATTAATTCTTATTTTGAAATATTATAAATATATTAATCGATCAATGAAGAAATAGAATTTGTTCTATATTTCATGCTACGAAAAAGAAAAACCGATGATTATTATTATTAAATATAAGAGAGAATATTATTATTTCTAATCAACCAATCGAAAACTAAATTAATAAATTCTTATTTTTAAATATTATAAATATTAATCGAACAATGAAAAGAAATAGAATTTGTTCTATATTTCGTGCTACGAAAAAGAAAAACCGATGATTATTATTATCAAATATAAAAGAGAATATTATTATTTCTAATCAACCACAATCGAAAACTAAATTAATAAATTCTTATTTTGAAATATTATAAATATTAATCGAACAATAATATACAATTTATATTGTTATATTTCTTGGTAACAATATAATTATGTTAAATAAGTATAATTGTGTTTCGTCGCATATAAAATTGACGATTTACGATTTGACGGAAGATATTCCCGTGTTTAAAAGAGAGTTACAGATAGATAGATAGATACAAACAAAAAGAGATAGAAAAAGAAAGAATGAATGAGATACTTAATAATAAATTAACGGCTAGCGAAGAGAGAATTTTGTCGTGTCGTTTGCAAAGAGTTTCTCGCGTGCTCACGTTCGCGTCGTTACACAATCATTTAGCACGCGGACCATTTTGCCATGCTAATTTAATTACGACCGGGGATAGCGGACTGTGAATCCAACTTACCCGCAATTAATTCCAAACGCATAATTTCATTAAGTCAGCCCTAGCGTATCCCTCTTTCCTATCTATATATATATATATATATATAGATATATGTCTATCTCTATTCATCTCTCTATCTCTCTCTATCTTTCTCTTCTTGTAGTCTATAGTATATGATTCCTTATTCCTCTCTATGTATTTGTGTATATGTGTGTGTATGCGTGTGTTTCTTATCCCTGCTTAGTATGAAATATGAACAACATTGATTAAATGAAAATAATAATAAATTCACTTCATATTACTCGAAATTGAAATTAGTTTTAGTACGAACGATTAAAAGAGATTATTTTTAAAGATATTTTTATCAGTTCGCGGTGCATATTTTCATAAATATTTTGTATACGTTATATAGAATTGACAATTGTATTATAATCATTGATTTTTCTGATCGAAAGTATACTCAAAAAGTATTTTTAATAATCAGTTGTTTCTCTCGTCCAAAAATAAAATTCTTAATAAGAAGGTATAATAGGGAATTTGGACATCAAAAAAAAGAAGTAGAACTTAATTTTGATAAGTTGGACGTTTCGTCCCTTTATTGGGACTTCTTCAGCAATTGGAAATTTTATTTTATTGTTATTTTTCTATTACGAAATACATGAGGAGACCCATACATTATAAAATATTACATTTTACCTTAATCTTTAAAGTTCAGCGTATTTTTTCTTTAAGTAGACATACATTTTTAATTTTTTTATTTATAATATTCAAAACACAAAACATCTACACTTCGTTAAGTCTTAATCCGTTATAATTTGAACACTTTTTTTTGATATCCAAATTCCCTATGATACCTTCTTATTAAGTATTTTCAATATTATACAAATATTTCTAACGAGAGCAAATTTTGAAATCAACAATACGTGTATACGTATTATTCGTATTATGCAATGAGAACTCATATGAGAGTAGTATTAGTAGTTATTTCAATAAGGTAATATTCGTGACTGGTTGTAAGTTAAAGAAAAAAAAAAGAAGAAATAATAAAAGAGAGGAAAAGGAAGAAAAGAAACTTAGGAACTCGAGACGCGAATACAAGTAGATAGATTTATGGCCTCTTCGATCTTGAACACACGATCTTCTCGTCTCGTCTCTTCTCTTCTCGTTTTGTTTCGTTTCGTTTCGTTTTCTCTACCTCGATTAGTATAGTAAGAGTGAATAAGAGTGATTGTAAGAGAGAAAGAGAGAGAGAGAAAGGGAATCGAATTGAGAAGTCATTCGTAGTGCACATCTCCAACTGTTTCTTGACAGCGGCCACGCGTAATCTTGTTCGCAACGCGTCACGTCCAACGTAATCGTGCGTAACCCTTTTACTCAATCAACCTTTCCTCCCAAACATCATTCATATTCTTCTATCAGTTATAATTAAAATGTCTCCTTGTTTTTCTGTACTATCAAGAGATGCCCCCATTTTTCTTTGATTATAATTTAA